CTTTGCCGTGCTGCTGGCTGCCTGTGGACACAGTAGGTAGTTAGTTATTTTTCCAGAGAGACATCGAATTGCAGAGCTACGGTATTTCTGCTGTATTCTAAATAGCAAACAACACGGCCTTTTCAGCATGAACTAAGTGGGAGTGGTGGAATTGAGCTGAAAGCATTTTGGCTACAAACTTGAATTCTAAGTTCCCTGAAAAATTGGATGCTGTTCAACTCAAGAAGCATTTGCAAAATGCCTACTCTGTGTAAGGTATATTGCTGTAGATTTAGGTAAACTTGGAATTCCACAGTAATCCATCACTTCTATGAAGGCTGCGCTCCAAGGCAGCCTCAGCGAGGTAAAATACAGTGATAGAAGTGGATGGAGGTAAGCAGTTACTCTGAGCAAATGGAGTCATTCTTGGGAGACCATCTCTGCTTGCTCCAGGCCCTTGGGGTCCTGTCGCTCAGTCGTCCTTGCCCAGTGAGCTCAAGGCCGAGCAGTGCACATGCAGGCTGTGACACCTCTGGAGGAAGAGAGACGGGTCTTTTTTCCTCAGCTTTTCCCCAGGACAGAGCTTGGTCATAATTTGAGAGGATTCGGTTAACTTGTGCTTACACTGTTCCGTGTCTGGGGTTTGCCAGCTTCTGGGGATGGTCGTGTTCATCGTTGTTTGGGACCCAGTAAAATTCCAGTACGTCAGACCGTCACGGTTTGTGGACCATCCCCCGATTCGGCAACACCTACTTTTGGCAAAACCTCCAGTTCTTTGCCACCTCAAAAAGGGCTTCTCGTGAAGATTTTCACAGTACCGTTTGTTGTGTTAGGCCTCCCTGGGACATACTTGCCAGACATTCGACAAGCCTCTATCTTGGGCCTTCCCTGGGTCAGGCATCGGATACAAAGAAAGGCAAAACCATCATGCCTGCTTTGACACATCTCATATCTTAATGAAGGAGGCAGTGTGCAGATCGTCTACACACAGGAGAGAGAGAGGGATGGACGTGTGTGGTGTGTGTGTGTGTGTGTACGTACACACAGTAGTATGAGGCACTAGTGTGGGGGGAGACAAGGAAGAGCTTTTTGCAGAAGATGAAATTTGAGGTGAATCTTGACGGAAGCCAAGGGGCAGAGGAAAGAGGGGAGACCATTTTAGGAATACCGGACAGCCAGTGAAAAGGCGCAGAACTGGGAGGAGGATGTTTGAGCAAGTATTAGTACGTATATGAAGTCTTCTGGTAGGAGGGCACAAGTTAGGATGGAGAGGAAAATTGGGACAGGCACTAAACTCATCAGATCTCTGGATCAGAGGGTTCTAAGCATTTGAGAGACCACCTTAACCATGAATGGTGAGACAGATTCACAGCTCCACCAACTATGTAGTAGTGTCGCCTGTCTGCCCGTGGTTCTTCCACACTGTCTCTCCCATTTTTTTATCTTCGCCAGGTGAAAGGCAAAGCCTGTCCGTTTTGATCTGCACTTCTCCTAGTCTTCTGATTCAACCAAACTTAATAAAATTGTCTATAAATTACTCGGATTTCCCCTAGAGCAGAATATGAGAAGAGGATCCTAGATGAGGCACACTGATAGCGGAAACAGTAACTACAGAATCACAATACCCTGGAGATAGTGGACGTTCTGCTTGTCTGAAATGACATTACAGTGTTATTAATGATGACTGAGTCAGTTTGGTTTTTTAATTTAGTGCCTCCCTCACAGTTGTTTCCAGTGTTTACAACCTTTTTTTTTTTTAATGAGACAGTGGAGTTAAGTGACTTGCCCAGGGTCACAACTAGTGAGTGTTATGTGTCTGAGGCTGCATTTGAACTCAGGTCCTCCTGACTCCAAGGCTGGAGCTCTAGCCACTGCACCATCCAGCTGCCCCTACATTTTTTTTTTTTGCTTGCTTTGAGACTGAGTTCTACCTGGTTTGTGCAGGCTGGAAATGGAATGGCGGTGTTAAGGCCCACCACTTCTCAGCATAAGAGCTTTGGGCCTGAGTCATTTCACCCCACCACCTGAGGTGGCCTCATCTTAGCCACCCTGTAGTCACCACTCCCAGAGTGGTGCCAGACTTCATGCAGATACTCAGTTGATCCCCCAGCCTCAGTCTCCCCAAGAGTGGAGATTATAGAAAGATAGAATACATTAGAAAACTTCCATCAGTAATTAAAATAAAACTTTTTGCATCAGAGTAAGGTAGAGGTAGAAGGGAACAAGCATTTATTAATCATCTACTATGTGCACTTAGAAATGTGATCTCATTTGCTTCTCACAAGCACCCGGAGACATGGGCGCTGTTATTATCCCCATTTAATAGTTGAGGAAAAGAGGCAGACAGAGGTTAGATGACTTGCCTGGGGTCATGTAACTACTAAGTGTCTGAAGTCAAATTTGAACTCAGGTCTTAGGCTCAGTGCTAACCACTGCACCACCTAGCTACCCCAGAACACATTTCAGTTATTTGAAAAATTCACTTCCATGGAATACTATTCGTTCCTGGTGATACCAACAGTGTTACTTTATGAAGAATGATATTCAGTAGCCTAAAGATCTGTTGTTCCTGGAACATAGAAGACGGGGTGGGGCGGGACGGGGTTAGCCTGGACAGTAACTCGGGGTGCTTCTCTTCTGTCTCCTGCTGCTCCCCTCAGCTGGCAGGGCCCAGTGAGCCTGTTTTGTTCGGGGCTCTTGCACGCTCCTTCCCGTCAGACTGAGCGCCGAGAGAACAGGGACTGGCCTTTGCCTTTCCTGGCATCCTCCGTGCATAGCAGCGTCTGGTACCTAGTAGGCATTTACTCTACCAATGCTTATTGACTATCATGTTTTAGAGTCCCATAGAAAACTGGCAATAAAGTGTGTGTGATGAGATCTGCAAGATACATTGTTCATTGATTGCTTCATCCGCATTCACTGGATGCAAGTTTCTGTCCATGCGTTAAGATTCTAAATTTTATTTATTCCTTCTCCTGGTCTTAATGAGTAATAATTTCCTGTTATTTCTTTCTAGCTGACCCCTTAGTGGGAAGTATCGCCACTCAGTACATGACCAACAGAGCAGAACACGACAGAATGGCCAGGCAGTGGACCAAGAGATACGCGACATAAATTGGGTTTTCACCAAATTCACATTATTTGTCTGTGATGGAAAGAGCTGCTTATGATTTTGAAAGGGTGGGGGGAGGGTGGGTGCTGATAAAGAGTAGGGTATTTCTATAACAGATTTTATTCAGTCTTTTATTTCCTAAGATTTTGTTGTTGTAACTTAAGGTATCTTGCTACAGTAGACAGTTAGAATTGGTAATAGCATCTTTTAAGACTGTCATTAGTTCTGCAATATTAACTCAAATAATAGTGCAGAAAAGAATGTACACTTAGACATTTGGGTTCTGTTGCTTGCAATATGTAAAAGATTAAAAACAGCTTAATTTTGTACAGGTACACATGGCATTTATGTAAAGTCCTTCCAAGATTACCCTTTTTTTCTTCTTTTTTCTTTTTCTTTTTTTTTTTTTTTGTAAAAAGTTGTTGGTTTTTCCCCCCATGAGAGGGAACATTGATATTTAACAGTTGCTTTTTAGATACTGTCATCTCATGATATATAATATGGAGAAGTGGATATATGGCACCATATAGGAAATAAGTAGTTAATGTATTTTATTTTATATGCCAATCTACTTTAGTGTGAAAAGATTAGAGGCTTTAATCAGGACTTACAGAAACCTGTAGTGAAATACCTTAAGCTGTTTTAAGTGTAAGGCGTGGAATAGGAGTCACTCAGTGGATTGGTTCTATGTTGTGGGCTACTTCAGTCTGCCTTTGTTACTGTGCTAATAAAACGCTATTAAAAAACAAGGCTGCCACCCTTGTGTTGAGTAACTTTCTTTATCTCTTGATAGAGGTTCTAAGGTCACATCTGCCTTTCACTTGTTCTAAGCTGTATTGCTGAAAGAAGTAACATTAGCTTTATCAATAACGGTGAAGCCAGGACATGGTTTGAAATAGAAGCTTCATTAATGAATTAAGTCAGCATCTGGGTCAGCTTTTCTAAACTGCAGATCATGTGAATATTCTGACCCCACCATTCTGCTGCAAATTTAGGGTTTACAGTTCCATGAGACTGATTGGCTTGCAAGATTAATTTTACTATGTTCAAAGTACAGTTGGGTGGAAAAGTTGAATGTATTTTTTTAAGTCTTAATTTTACTGTTTACTTATACAATCTACCTCACCCACAGTAATTAGGCCTTCTCTCCCGTCCACCCAAGTTATTAATTTCTCCAGATGCTAGTATCTCCCACCACCCATCCTCCTGAACAGGGTAACTAAGAGGCAGCTCATAGAGGAACAGAAGGCAAGAAGGTAGCCCCAGGATAAACCTTGATTCTCCACTTTAATACCATGGAATGGTATTATTAAATGCTTTAATGGTAGCCCTCAAGACCTACACTACAGTATCAGTAGTCAGATTTTTTAAATATATTATTACTACTTCTCAATAGAAGTAGAATGGAACAAGCTATTTTCAGAAGATAAAAGAACAGAGTAAGTAACCCATTCTTTAGTAATGCGGTAGCTTCCTCTAAGGTTAAAGCCACAAAGAGGACCTAGATCAGTAACTTCAGTAATTAGGTTGGTACAAGTCAGAAGCCCCAACAGAGTGGGGGGGGGGTGCACACTGATGGAATGTCAGAACACCCTGGCCCTGGTGGACCACGAGTCGTGCATGTGCGCGCACGTGTGTGTGTGTGTGTGTGTGTGTGTGTGTGTTGGGGCCTAGAGGTGCCTTATCCCAGCTCATGCCCAAGCAGCCAAAATACTGCCAAAGCATGAAAGGTTAAGTTAAGTTTTTTGAATGAGAGCATGAAGGCACTTTATGTAACGATCCACTCTGAGTCCTCCAGTTAATCATGTTACTGCAGTATAAAGTGTTCTCAAAGAGAAGCAGGGGGAATCCCAGTCACCTCAAGGCACCTTTGTTTAGGTGAAAGGGGAAAATCAAAAGCCTACATGGCTGCGTTTATGCCACCCACATTTTATTTTCATAGTCTTTAACACAAGTGTACTATCTTTGTTAAAAAAACACCGCTCTGAAATGAACACGTAAATTGTATTTACAGCACATATGACAATTTCACATCAGAACAGCAGGCAATCTCCTTCCCCATTCTCTCCCCTCCCCTCCAACCCAACTCCATAAATTATAACTTAAAGATAGAAAGTGCTTTTAGAGACCTCATTGGACCTGTTCCCTAAGGGAAAAAAGGTGGATGCTCTAGGCAGCAGCTTATGATTTTAAATCTGCTCACTTCTCACAAAAGTCTAGAATGAGGCCGGCGGTTTTCCTGGATGCCATTTTACTGTGAGACTGGCTAATTCTCAGAAGTGATGTTGCCTCTGTTCTTCCTTCCGGGCAGGGGGAAAGCAGACTTGCTCTGGGGCTGGGTGAGCTTGCTGGCCAAGAGGATGAATGGTTCAATGAGAGTTTTCCTATCAGTCACGGTCACCTCCCACAGCCTCACTTTCTCACTCCTCGCCCACTGCTGGGCCATGTCAGCATCCACTTGCCTCTGCTCAGACAAATCAGATTTGTTTCCCAAGATCACAATTACTATCTGAAAGAAAAAAAGTTAAATGTGCTCAAATTTTGTGCCACAACGTCCCCCAATACAAAATCAAAGAAGTGTTTTTCTCAAGTGCCTGAGGATGCAGAAACATGAAGCGTCAGGGCCCCCAGCAAGGATCTCCTTGCTCCTTCTGCCTTCTGGAGGTCAAACAGCTATTTCTGGGCAAGGCTGCCACCTCCTCTTGGACCGTAAGGAAGAAAGGTAAGATTTGAGGGGGGATCACCTGCAGCTGTGCCCACTGTCTGACAAGAGCATGCCTCCAGGCAAAAGGAAAGGGAGGGGAGGGGAGCTATTTGGGAGAAGGGCAAAGGGACTTCTCACAGCCCCCAAATCATTATGCTGCTTTCCACACAGTACATAACCCATTAGTATCTGGGGGTAACTTAGTTACAAGTACTAATAAAAGATGAGAATAAAGAGTAATTTAAATCCATGGTCACAGCCAACTATTGATTAACCCCGGTAAGGGAATGGAGTTGTCACACAGAATCAAAATATGAATACCTGACTGAAAATACAACAAATTTCAGTATGGATATGCCTAATGTATGGGGAATTAATAATGAATTCACAACAAAAGTATTCTTTAAAGGCTGCAGCTCAAGGATGCACTTCTTCCTTTCCTGGCACACAGGTAGCAATACTGAGAAAAGTCAATAGAGGTGACCATAGGAGAAAAGTGGAGAAGGTGGTGAGGTCACTTGAAAAAAGTAAAAAGGTGAGAGCACAATTTGTCATTGTTATTTGCACCTTAAAACTGAGTTCACTGTAATTCCTAAAATACCACTCATTTTAGGCCACAATTTCAAACTTCTCTAAGCAATACTTTATTACAAGGGTTTACTGCAGCAAAAATGGCAAACACTTGCTATACTTTAAATTCCTCAATGCTGGCAGCAGTGAAGAAAATAAAGACAATCATGGAATCTAATCACTATGATTTTTTTAAAGAATTTCAGACTGTTTAGAAGCCAGGAAGCAAACCAAGAAAAATGGCTGAAAAGTCTCGGTTATTTTCAATAGTTAGAGCATACTTCAGAAAAAGCAAGAATTTCCAAAGAATCTACATAATTCCAAAAAAGATGGGGCAAGAAGAATGGAATTCTAACTCTCTTCTAAAGTGTGTAAATTTCATTTCACTTTTAATCTCCTGTCTCTTCCCCTACACTGCTACTTTCTCAGAATATACTTTTTCTGAGGAATGGAGCTTTCTCTCCTTCATCCCCCAAACCAGGGGTGGAGAACCTGTGACCCTGAGGCCACACGTAGCCCTCTAGGTCCTCAAGTACGGCCCTTTGACCAAATCCAAATTTCACAGAACAGTTCCCCTGAATAAAAGGATTTATTCTGAAAAACTTGGACTCAGCCAAAAGACAGCAACCAAAGACCTAGAGGACTACATGTGGCCTCGAGGACACAGGTCCCCCAAACCCCGCCATACATAGCTCTAAAGCAACAATGTGTTAGGCTTCGAGTAAGCCAACGTCCGTGTCCTGGTATGGCTGGACATACATAATAAATTTGCAGGGTGTATTACAGCGAGGATTCTTTCACATAGGCGTTGGCCTGCGTGGCCTCTGAGACAAGTATATTTATTCTAACGAAAACAGTAAGAAGTCCTTAGCTTAGTAAGGATAAAAGTAATTGCTCCAGCCCTTCTGACATCTTCAAAGGAGCTGTCCTACATGGAACAACTGCAAAAGTAAAGTTCTGATCTCTCAACTAAATAAAGAATGAAGGTAGAAAATCCAGCTAGCTGGTGAGTGAGACCACGCGGCCTGTGCCAGCTTTTATAATCTAGTAAGAAAAACATTTTTATTTTCATGACAAGATTATAAATAATAGAATCTTTTAAAATCCAATTTTGTTTCACAAATCCTACCTACGATATGGATTGAAAACACTCAGCTGCTTACCTCTTTTTTATCCTTGAACTTATCTATTTCTTTCTTAATACTCTCCACCTTCCGAAGGGATACGAGGTCGTTCACCGCATAGACCAGCACAAACCCCTCAGCAAAAGAGAAGTAATGCTTGGGCAGCTCCTCGCCTTCTTGCAGACCCTGCGTGTCATACAGGCGCAGCTGCTCCCTCACCCCTCGATCAGTTTCCACTGATGCCACATACACGTCTTCCACCGTTTCACTGTCTCCTTTACCTGTTGTTTGATGGGAAACAGGCATTGCAAATCACTGCATTTTTCTTTTGCTATCACGTCATCATTTGTAAAATATCCTACTCCCACTGTGGGGTGGAGGGGATTCAAAGCTATGAGTGCAAATCCTACCAACTTGGAAAGGCTTCCAGTGTGGACCAGCCAAAGGACAACGGTCTCAAGTTCACCCAAATTGGATAGCGCTACAAGATCATAAAGGGTTTGACCACAGTGATTCCTGAAACCTGCCATGGTGATGGAAGATTATAGTCTGTGTCAGGGAAAGAGTCTGCATCCACACTGATGAACTCATGAATCTTTCTGATGCTGAAGAGCACACAAGCATTCTTTTTAAATGCTCCCCCTCTAGTGTTGAGAGAAGCAATAGAAACCGTGGCAGTTCCTATCAGGATCACTATTACACACAAAAAATTAGTTTCATGATTGATGGGAACAATACAAAGAACTAAAATGGAATAAAGCTTCAGTATTGAGAGTTAAAAGGAATGAAGTTGTAGCACAGAAAGCCGAAATGGATGGAAAAAAACCCCTTCTCTCCTCTCAGACGGTCACCACCTCCCCTCTGACCTCTCTTTGTCAGCCCCTCTCCACTGCCCTGCAATATAAATGAATAAAAGCCACTCAGTAAGTCAATCCCTCCCTCTGGAAGCGCTTCCTCAAGCCTCGCTGCCGCCACCTCGGGGATGCTCTCTCTTCTCTCCCAGTCTTCCTCCTGCCCATCTGACCCCTTCTCTTATGCCCTTGGCCAGCTTTGAATCCATATCTTGGGGGCTAAGTGTGGGCACTTCCCAAGGTCTGTCCTAGGCCCTCTTTGCTACACTCTTGCTGGGCAGCTTCAGCAGCACTCGGGGGCTGCCCTGTCATTGCTAGGCAGATTTCTCTCTTCCTATCTGAACTCATTACCTCCTCCCTTTTTCCAAGCATCCCTCTTTCTGCTGGTAGTACCACCATCCCTTCAGTGTCCTAGGTCCATAATCTCAATGCTAACTGGGCCTCCTTACTCTCCTTAACTCCACATGCCCACACAATGGCCAAATCTCATTTCTGCCTTCACAACATCACTCACAGCCAGTTCACGTGGGTCCCGGTCTAGATCCTCCTCACTGCTTATGGACGTTAAGGAAACTGCCCTCTTGGTGGTCATTGTACTTTGAGTCCCTCACCACTCCAGTCCACCCTACGATACTACTGCCAAAATAATCTTCCTCCAGCAATCCCACCAACCCCAATGGCTTCCTGTTGCCCCAGAAAACAACCTCTTCTGTTTCGCTTTTAAAGCCCCACACATACACTCTCTCTCCCTCCCTCTCTCTCTCTGTTCCTCACACATGACGCTATCTCCCGTCTCCGTGCCTCCTCCCTCTGTCCACCTCAAAATCCCTCTCTTCTTCTAAGTTCAAGCATCATCATCTGTATAACGTCATCCCTGCTGCCTCTCAACTCTTAATGGCTCCCCCCTAGATTACCTCATATTCAAGGACTTTGTATATATATGTACTTATTCATTTCATATTTATGTATCTCCCAGGGGAATGCAAACAGCTTGAGAAGAAGGATTATTTCACCCTTTATCATTGTATCTTTAGCGCCTGGCAGTGCCTGGCAGATATATGTCCTTAAACATGTGTTGGCTTACAAATTTATCGTTCTGGGATGTGTCTCTGATCTCAGGCTTAAATCCTCTTACTAATGAGCCCTCCTCACTGATCTCAATGCACTGACCATCTTTCCCTCCCTGCCAAATTATGGGCTCTAGACCAAGTGTCTGCCACCTGTCTACACTAACTAGCAGTAGTGGTTACATAGTGCCTAAATAAGGTGTCTGGGAGGCCCTATGATGACTTCAGGTACGACCCAAGTTGCAGATACTAAAACTAATCAAGTTTTCTCTCAGTGACTCAAGCCTCTGTGGACACAACTTCTATTTTTATACCAAATAACATGTTTTGTGAAGGATTCCCAACTCCCTCAAGTAGTTCCCAGGTTCCACTAAAGAGACTGCTTGAAGGAAGCCCGACTTACCAATAACGTGATTCCCATAAAGAAGCTGTTCCAAAATCGCTGTTTTCCCCACTGCCATCGATCCACAAACCACGACCTTGTAGCCTTTCCCCATCCTGTCTGGCAGATTCTGCACAGACAAAAATGCATTTGTTTTAATGAAAGGACATTACAGAGAAGGGAAGAGAGAATATGAAGTCAGCTAAAATGTTATTTGTTGAAGTTAAATTTAATAGTTTTACTTCAGAGTATATAGGAATGGTTGCCACGCTTAATCTGAAGAACTCCTAGTACAATCATGAATTAAGCTGAAAGCTTGTCTACTCGACACCAATGCTTGGACAATGTTTCCAAAGGGAATAAAAATTATAGCTAAAAACTGGAGCGCAGTCTGGCAAAGACTCAACAGCTGGTACTAGGTTAACCCTCCTATTGGTTCAGCTGGGCCACATAAGCCTGGGTCTAGAAAACAGCTCGGCAGGTTGAGCTATGGGGGGTGGGGTGTGTGTGTGGGGGGGCTAAACGTACCTCCAGCTCTACTTCTCAGCAGCTACCTCAGGAAGGGGGGAAGGGGAAGCTTTCCTTCTCTACCAGAAGTTCTTCCCACTGGTTATAAGAGCCAAGAAGGGGGGAGGGGGTACAGAAAATATCTTCACACAAGAATGTGGAACAAAGCAATCTCCACATTTCTTTCTACCACTGACCACTCAAAATTCTCTTACTTGGGGATGAGTGGAAGGCTATGGGGAACAAAGCCACTACCTACTGCCCTTACTTAGCTCAGCCAAAATCCCACCTCCTGCAAGAAGACTTCCCTGATCCCCTTTAAAGCTACTGCCACCCCTGTCGATTACCTCCCATTTATCCTTGTACATTTTGTTTCTACAGTTGTTACTCGTCTCCCCCACAAGACTGTCTTTTGCATTTTTTTGTATCCCCAGCACTTAGCACAGTGCCTGACACAGCAGATGCTTCACTGACTCCTGGCTAAGCAGAACAAGACAACTCCCCTGCTAACAAAAACACTGGAAAAGCCCAGGTGTCCAAATAAATATTCCAAGGAAGAGCAAAGCTCAGTCTGTCTCAGTTTATCTGTTTCCATCTTTGAGTACACCTAAAAAAGTCAGCTCCCTAAAGGGTCTATCATTTACATAGAAAAGTAGCATAGGTACCATCAACATCAGCTATTAGAAAAATAGCGTCATTTTCCCCTCTAATTTTCTTGCTGTTTTCCATACAGAGTAGGCTAAAGCTCAGTGCTAGGGTTATGAGTTGACTGATGTTTGAGTGAGTCAATTAGTTTTTCTCTATTTCCCAATCATCTAGCTTATCAATGAGGTGGCAGCATATGGTAAGAAAGTGTAGATAAATGAATACAAGTCAACAGACAAAAAATTCCAAACCAAAATGTTACAGATCATTATTTTAATAAAGGTTTTTCATTGGTCTGCTTGAATTTAAATTTAGAAACTCAGAGGGAAAGGAAGAATGTTGCCACCAAAAAGACAAAATGGTAATGTCCTTATTAGGAGATTTTATAATTTAATTTAATTTCTTATTGTTATTTTATATCTCTCCCTCTAGTTTGTACACCCTCTAACTAAGTTTCATCCCCAGAAGTATCTATAAGTACTAACCCTTCCTCTCAGCATTCTTAGAAGGTGGGAAGTAACCAGTCAGAAATACACATAGAACTTGACACTTACTAGCTATGTGACCCTAGGCAAGTCACTTAACTCCAACTGCCTCACCAAAAATGCAAAAAACAAACAGAAATATACATAGAAGGGCTGTTTCTCCGTGAAACAAAAACTGGGCCAGTTTAACAACTGAACTCTTTAAAAAGAAAATAATCAATCTGGAGAAAACACTTTTTTCATCTTTCCTTTTGTACACAGAGTCAAAGTTTTAAATATTCGCATTTCTAAATAGCTCTAATAAGCTTGCCAGTGCTAAAAAAGCAAACCAGAAAAGGCCCAAAAGACATTACTCTGCTAGAATTAAAGTCCACTGACAACAAAAAATAATTCCCTTAATAGAAATTAATGCTAATCAAATAAACCACATCTACTAATCCATCTCCCCTAGCTAAAATGATCCAGATATAACATGTTCAAAGGGGAAAAGAGGAGGATGGAGAAAGGGAAAGCAGCTAATGAATCTTATTTCTAGTAAAGATATGTTTCTGAAGGTTTTTAAAAACGTTTATTCATCAATGATCCGTTTTATTTTATTTTGTGGTGAATTCACCCTTTTTATTTTTGATATTGATAGTCTGGTTCTCCTCTTTTTAAAAACAATACTTTGTTTTCCCCCAGTTACATGTAAAGACAACTTTTAACATTCATTTTAAAAAATTTGAATTCTGAAGTTAGTTTTAAAGTTAAAATTTTGTCAGTGGAACAATTTAGAGTGTAGTTAACTCACTATTAAAAGAATTTCCTCCTTGATTCCCTCTGTAGAAGGAAGACTTTAAAAAATACTAAATAGGACACAGAGGACACACGTTCAAATTTTTTTTGGTGTAACACCTCATGTGTTTGAAAGACGCTTACCCAATTAGGCGACCTCAATTATCTAGATTCTAGAACAGAGTCTGAATTTGGAAACAGCAGCAAATGCCTAGCAGCTCAAATCGCTATCATGAACCCCACGTACTTTTACTTTATAGCAGAGGCGCTCAGGATTTATTGAGGCTTGCTTCCTACACAATGCCAATTAGTTTGGTTGTCTGGATTCCCAGGCCACAGCAGATCAAAGGCAACAACGGACTGCAAAAACCAGGAAAGCTGAGAGGCAAGAAATCACAGCTTACCCAGTGTGAAAACTACAAAGCCTATAAAAAGCCAATTTCTATCCAATGGCATTTTGATTACTCAAAATTTTTGTATCTGAAAGGGATTAAGTTGCTCAAAAGGAAAGATGACACCACAATCGTTAAAGACAATAAACCACAGGCAGGTTAGCCTAGAAGCTAAGAGTGGCTTTGAAGTCAGTCAGGCCTCGGTTCTAAGGGCAGTGCCATCACTTAATGTCTCCAAGACTTCAATTGCAGAATTGCCAAGATCGGCAGTGAGAGTTTCACCCCAATTGAAGCCCCTCCTGGCCCCACCCCAGTACAGTTCTTGGCCACCAAAAAAGGGCTGTTAGAAATACTTCTGTCCATATGGGTCCTTTTCTCTTTCCTGGATGGCTTTGGGCTACAGACCTAGAGGACTGTGGCTATGTCAAGGTATGATAAAGTTTACTGACTTTGGGGCATAATGACAAATTGCTTCCAAGACTGTTTGTACCAATTCAAAGTTCTAACAGCATCAATGTGCCTGTTCTGCTCCATCTCTTCTAACACGTCATTTTCCTTTTTCGCCACCTTTGCCGATACAATGGGTATAGGCCAAGATATAACGTCAGAGCTACTTAATTTGCACTTCTCAAAACATTCGTGATTTGTAGTATTTTTCCTCTAGCTGTTGAGAGCTTTCATGTCTTCCTTGGAGAACTGCCTATGCATATTATTTGACTGCTGGGGAGAACAGCTCTAACTCTTACACATTTCCATCAATTCCTTATAGATCTTGGAAATGAGATCTTTTAGAGAAATTTGCTGCACAGATTTTTCCCCCAGTTAACTGTTTCCCTTTTAATTTTATCTATACTGGTTTTATTTATGCAAGCACTTTAAAATTTTATATAATAAAATTAAGATACATGAATATCTTGGAACACAATGCCATAAGAAACATAAATGAGAAAAGTAAGCAAGAAAGAGGAAAGAAAGCAAACTGAGGGAACAATGATACAGTAACAACACTGCAAAGACAACTTTCAAAGATTCAGGAACACTGATGAATACAAAGCTCATCCGCGATTCCACCAGGTACCCAATGAATCCTGCTCCCCACCTTCTGACAGAGTGGTTATGGATTCAAGGTGCAAAATGCGACATCCGTTTTTGGATTCGGACTATGGAATGGTTTGCCTCACTGTGCACAGATATAGATATAGCAATGGTTTTCAAAGAACGATATTAACATTACTATATTACCTAACTGATACCAGTAACACCCCTGTGGAAAAGGCAGCATAAGTACTATTATTATCAGCATCCTATAGAAAATACAATGAGTTTCACAAGGATTAGATGGTTCCCCAGTAAGGGAGAAGGAACTTGCTGGGCCATAAGATGATCTGGGAATTTCTGGCTCTGCTACTTATTTATTTCCTGACTTTGGGTGAGCCACCCCCTTCTTGAGCCCGTTTCCTCAATGTATACCCAGAGGCTCTCTCTCAACTTTAAATCTCATCCTCTGTCCTAAGTGGTAGAGCCAGGCCTGGAACCTAAGAAGGCCACGTGTGGCCTCGAGGCCAAAGGTTCCCCACCCCTACACTATCCCATGGAGCCAGGGGTCCATCAAAGTAAAGATTCCGGGGTAGAGTGATTGGGGAAATAAGGGGAGTCACACAACAAAGTGTCGATGAAACATTTTAAAAACAAAGGCAGAAACACATTCTGAAAGGAATATGGACGAGCATGGCCGTGTTGGCTCTACCAGGTTAAACTTAATATAGACTTCAGAAGGAACAAGCTGTATGTAAGAGACCCTGTTTCATATCCACTCCTCTTTTTCTGTTCTTTGCATAGAGAAATATTCATGTTTGTTAAGATAATAAGAAATTATTTAAGTAACGTATTACTACAGAATGACCACAATCTGCCAAATAAAAACAGTGAGATCTGAAAAGGACGCAGGGTTCAGTCTGATCTAAGTAACTAAATACTGCTACTTTGTGTTACAAAAGGCAATCATGTAAAATACTCAATTTCCTATGTATAATGACTTCAATACTCTAATTATGGGAAGCCATGCTCAACGGTTAGCATAATTCTTACAGACTTAAACAACATTTTAAAATACTCATCTAACATGAAACCTTCAAAAACTTTTAAATTCTAAAATGCATCAAATGGACATCATATTCGTAGAATCACAGGCTCCAGAGCTGGAATCAACCCAGTTCTTTTACCAGAGGAATCTGAAGCCCAGAGAGAGGAATCGAATTGCCTAAGGTCACGCAAGTCATCATTTGAATCCAGGCTCCTGGACTCCATCTCCAGTATTTACAGGTTCTCCCATCTCATACCAGTAAAGAATGGCTGCGATGGTAGGGGAGAAGCCACATTTCACAGTCCCAGGAACGAGGAATTTCCACCGAGGCTCAAGAACCCGTGAGCCACAAAACCAGTGCTCACCTAACATAACTCCAGGGGCCCGTACATTAAAGCACGTGATTAGGCTTCCAGGAGGGCAACACACACACACACACACACACACACACACACACACACACAAACACACCCGTTCTCGTGTGACCACAGGCACAGACGGACTGACAGCTCACGGGCAGAGCTTCGCACAAACGAGCCAGCGGGAAACACGTCTGCCTCCCGGACATGGGCCGTGCTTTCAACCCAGGGGCAGGCTCCCGAAAGCCCGAGCTGTCGGTCCTCTGACGGACCGAGGCCGGCCCGTCTACAGGAAGGGCCCGAGCTGAGGATAAGCATCGTCCTAACCACGGGGCCAACTTTTAGCCTTATCTCACTTGAGCCTCACAGCCACCCTGCGGGGAGGAGCTCTTATTGTCCCCATTTCAGGAGAGGGAAACTGAGGCAGAGGGGAAGGGACCTGCCCACGGTCGCACGGCTGGAGTGTCCGAGGCCAGACTGGACCTCAGGTCCTGCAGACTCCAGGCCCGGCGCTGCTCTAGCCACTGACCTAGAACTGGCCTCTCCCACGGTCACGGGGAGTCCAGAGGCAAGGTCAAGGCGGCGCTTGAACCCAGGACTGCGAAGCGGGCGCTCCTCGGCGGGGGAAGGGGTACGCAAGAGGGCTGCGTTTCCCAGGCAACGAGGAGGCCCCGCCCCAGGGGGAGGAAGTGAGAGGAGAGGAGAGCCCTCCGGTGGGGGGGGTCGGACCCCGCACACGCAGCCCCGAGGGGGAAAACACAGGGGGAAGAGAGGGTGCGAGAGACGGTGGCCCGGCAGGGTCACGACTCAGTCAGAGGCCTTCGCAACCTCCCTTCCCTTCCCGCCCCCACCACCCCCGCGTCCGCCCTAAAGTGAGGATGGGGGTGAGGCCGCCGCCGGCCCCAACCAGAGAGTAGCGTCCTCTTCCCTCCCCGTCTACAGGCCAGGGGATGCAAGCTCAGCTCCCCGCGTTAACCTGCCGAGAGAGGGGCCGAGCCGGGGAACCCGCGCACGCGCCCTCGCGCCCTCTCGCCGGCGCAGTCCGTGTTCGCCTGCCCCTCCCCCGCCCTAGCGCGATCCACGGGTTAGGCTTCCGACTGGCCCTCTGGAGCGGCGCCGAACCCCCTCAGACCAGAGAGGGAAGGGCGGAACTTGGGCGGGGCGGGACGTCCCGTGGGAAGAGGAGCGCCCCCCCCCCCCCCCCCCGCCGGCTCTGCCATCCCCGACTCCTCCCCTTCATGTGTAGGCCGAGCCTCCGTCCCGCCCCCTCTGAGGCCGCCAGGATACCGGCGGGAAGGACTACGATTCCCAGGAGGCTGTGCGCCCGTCCAGCGCTTGAGCCGGAAAGAGGGTCTGTGGAGAGGAAGAGCCCATAAAGGATTGTGGGAAAGCGGACTCTTTCTTTCCGGTCGGCGGCAGCCATCGGCCAGGTAGGGAGCGTCTGCCTCGTTCGGGCCATCCACTCGTAATCTCCCCTTTGCTTTGGCCATCCGGGCCCGGGCCCCATGCGCCCAGGGGCCTCGGCGTGTGCGCCACGCGATGTGGGCCTTGGCTGGGGCCCGGAGCAGCGGGAGCGGGGAGAGGAGGCCTCGGGTGAGGGGCCGGGGGGAAGCCGGGCCGGAGCAGGGGAGGTGACGCCGCCGGGCCTCCGAGTCCCAGCCCTCGGCCGAAGCCGCCACCGGCCGGGCGGACTCGCTCCTCAGGACGCGGTTCTGAGGCGAGCGCGCTCTCTTCCAGGCTAGGCGTGAGCCAGGATGGGGGCCTACAAATACATCCAGGAGCTATGGAGGAAGAAGCAGTCGGATGTCATGCGGTTCCTCCTGCGCGTGCGCTGCTGGCAGTACCGCCAGCTGTCCGCCCTGCACCGAGCCCCGCGGCCCACCAGACCCGACAAAGCTCGCAGGCTGGGGTACAAGGCCAAGCAAGGTAACGGCATGGGGCGGGGGACCCGGAAGGCCCGCGAAGCCCGCACGGGGGGCCGGCTCACCTGCCCCTGCCTTGGCGCGAATGTCGAAAGCGCGCAGGCGGGGAGCATGGTGCTTCTCAGCTTGGAGCCCATGGAGTCCATGCATAGATTCCGGGCGAGCCTCAGCTTATTTCATTACAGTTATTTTCCTTGGTAATCCCAGGCTGCGTGCTAAATGTCCTAATGGGGCATTGGACTAAGAGGTGGCCCCCGGAGGCCCTGTCACTTGGCGTCTTGGGTTAACTCCACTGAGCCTCCCTGTACCCGTTGGCAAAACTGCACAACACCTACCCACCCGCAAAGTCTTGTACAAGTTGAGGTAGTCATGCACTCACAAGAGTACATTTCGACGTAATTTGGCCTCTAATCTTTAACATAATTGACTGTTAGGGTTGAGGCATCTAAATCTTTTGGCAGGAGGAGGTTTCCAGGCGACTGGATTTGATTCTGTTTGTAGACAGAAAAGGCTTGTGTTCATTTTAGGTTATGTCATCTACCGTATTCGAGTTCGACGTGGTGGACGAAAGCGTCCAGTTCCCAAGGGTGCAACTTACGGTAAACCCGTGCATCATGGTGTGAATCAGCTGAAGTTTGCCAGGAGCCTTCAGTCTGTAGCCGAAGTAAGATTTTTTTTTCTTTTTAAATTGGTAATTCTTTTAGAGACGGGAAACAATGTGGTGTGATGGAATAATCCTCTTCAACTGAGGCAGAACACCTAGGCTCAGGTCTGTCTGAGCCCTGGTGTGGGCTATGTGACCCCAAACTTAACCCTCTGTGAGCCTTAGGGGTTGTGACTTGCTTTTTCACAAGGCATTTTCAACAAGCTCAGAACTAAAATTGCCATTAAAATATTTTTCAAAAGAAATGCCGTGGGAATTTGGGTACTGAAGAATAAATAGTATATGGGTGTCACTGGTTAGGCCAAAGATGCTTAACTTAGAGCCAATGAATTGGATGGGGGGAGGAATTAAAACTTTTATTTTCAGTGACCTATTAACTTAAATTTAGCATTTCCTTACATTAGAAATGTAGGTAATAAGCATTCTGAGTAGGAATCCACAGGCTTCACCAGACTGCTGAGGGTGTTAAACATGTCACTAAAAAGGTTGAGAAACCCACAGGTTTTCCTGAGGAAAAAGTATGTGTGTACCTAGTGTCTTCCTTCTGTTAATTATCAGTTTATACTGTATATATCTTGTGGATCGATTGTCTGTCTCGTTAGACTAAGCTTGAGAGCAAGGACAGGGTTTTGGGGTTTTTTTGTTTTGTCTGACTAATTGGCATAAATGTTGGTATGGAAAGCTTATTATTGCATGATAGGGGTCGGTGGAACTTGAAGAGTTCAGTAAGTTAGTACTTCAGTAAGTTATTCATAAGCTCAGGAGTGGGAATCATTAAATATAATGGCTCTTAATTTGAGACTTGAACAGAACTTTGCAAAAACAAAACTAATCTGACTGCAGAAATCTCTTAGAAATTATTCTTATGGTGCTTTGACAAACTGTGATGGCCAAAAGAATTAATTCTGACCTTACCATTAGATTATTCCATTAGGTGGTAAACTTGAAGGCAGAGGCAGAAACTTTTTCTGGAGGCATTTAGTAAAGATTTATCCATTGTAGTTTGATTGGCTGCTAAGAGTTAAAAACAGATTATACTCAAGAAAATTATTTTGCTTCAGATTGGGAAGAGTTGGATGTATTAAAAGCAGGCATTTCTTCTAGGTCTGTATTATTTTTGTTTTATTTATGGTGGAAGACCATTAGTCTTTTGTTCCCCTGTTACTATATAAGTCCTTTGTGCATCTGGTCCATTCTTTTGTACCAAACTTGATGCTTGTGCTAAGCCCTGGAGATAACACAACAAATCAGTCCTGCCCTCAAGGAACTTTGAAAACCAGTTTAGAGGGAATCTGGGCCAGGAAAGAGATCTTTAAATTGTGGGAGAAGCTGGAAGAGTCAAATAACACACTCTTTCCCCTAGCTATGGTAGTGTTGATTTAATTATCCCCACCTGAAACGGGGAGTGGGAAAGGTTGATGGCTAGAAAATAAGATTTAGGTGACCAGGGTCTCCCACCTAGTGATAGAAACCAAGTCATCGATAAAATAAGCTCAGCACTAGGCCAAGCTTAGGCTTTGGGTAAGTTTTATTGATAAGGCTCAAAACAATCTCAGAGGCATTTTATGGCTTGAGGCCAGGTTTTCTAACCTGGGAACCTAGAGACGGGATTGGAGGAGATGGAGCTCTGGGCCTGAGTCAGGAAGATCACAATTCAAATCTGGCCTCAGACATTTCCTCTCTGTGTGACACAGGGCAAGTCGTTTAATTTTCCCTTTCCTCAGTTTCCTCATCTGTAAAGTGGGAATCATGATAGCACCTACTTCCCAGGGTTGCTGTGAGAATCAAATGAGATGTGGCATTTCTAGTAAGCACATTGGATAATAAGCTTATTCTCCCTTGGTACTTTGCTTAATTTTCACTATTTTGTCACAAATTGGGAAGTGAAAGAGCACTTAGAGTTATAGTTCAGTGACTCAGGACTTGAAAGCAACAAGCATTTTAAATGCTTTACGTTGGGTACTCTGCTGGGAGTCATGGTACAGAGATTTAAAAAAAAAAATCCCTTCTCCAGGACAGCCTCCTCCCCAATGATGAATGGGACTGATCTAATCAGAGTAGATGAAAGTTTGGTTCAGAGGGCACACAGTAACTGGAGGTCCAGGGAAAGGCTTCCATACAAGTTGGGGTGTAAGCATAGTCCTGGAGAAGACAAGGAAAGCATCGGGGACAGATAGCTGTTTGAGTAGCCTAGAGAGTTGCATTAGACTACTCTCTGAAGCTGGTTCCAAGTCTTTTGGGGGGGGGGGCGGCTAGGCAATGGGGTTAAGTGACTTGCCCAGGGTCACACAGCTAGTATGTGTTATGTGTCTGAGGCCGGATTTGAACTCAGGTCCTCCTGAATCCAGGGCGGTGCTCTATCCACTGCGCCATCTAGTTGCCCCAGCTGTTCCAACTCCTACTTATGATCCTATGACACCTTGTTTCTGATAGGAGGGGAGGTTATTTTGTGTGGTTTTAATGTGTTGGTTTACATCCTTTTCCCGTAAGACTGCAGAGAAGCAACACACTTGAAAGCGATCTTGCAGAATGTGTTGGTACTTTTACCGCAGGGCCTCCCCGAGCACCGTGCCAGCTGCTTCAGTAGACATTCTGGTCAAGCAGCTATTGCTGCTAAGCAGCACTGTGACGGAAGAACAAGCAGGGCTCTTCTCTATGACCTTCCATTTTACTGGTTACGCATACTTAGTATGCAAGTGTTCTTTGAATAGTGTGTTCTGCTCTGTCTGTCTGTCGGTTATTTTTTACAGGCATTAGAATGCACTGTTTTAGCACTATGGCTTGTATTTGTAAACATCTCCAGTAAAAGTATAGGAATTGGGTTTTTAACGTCCACTTTTTTCTTCCATTCTAGGAACGTGCTGGCCGCCACTGTGGGGCCCTAAGAGTCTTGAACTCCTACTGGGTGGGTGAAGATTCAACCTACAAATTCTTTGAGGTTATTCTTATTGACCCATTCCATAAAGCTATCAGACGAAACCCCGACACTCAATGGATCACCAAGCCAGTGCACAAACACAGAGAGATGCGTGGGCTTACCTCAGCTGGCCGGAAGAGTAGGGGTCTTGGAAAGGGTCACAAATTCCACCATACTATTGGAGGGTCTCGCCGTGCTGCTTGGAGAAGGCGCAATACTCTCCAGCTACATCGATACCGCTAATTGGTGCACATTAATTTGTAAACTTTGGTGTCTAATAAACAACATTTATGATGTTTTGT